TATTGCACATAGAAGTGTATCAAGTGCGTCTAAAACATTCAATTATAAACAATATAATAAAAACGCAACGAGATTCATAAAAACGTTTTTCTACTAACATACCGTCCACCGGGGTAACTTCGGACTGCAGTGTAACTGTGTATCTTGTAGTAATACCGCAAACCTACAAACGTAAGCAAAACTTAACATTGTTGTATGGAACAAGCTCCAAAGAAAATCTTCAAAAAGCATTAAAAGATTATGGTACACTGTTAAAAAAATAGCGCGTTTTTTACGGAAAAGTTCCGTCAACTGCCGATGACCAAACTACCCGTCATTTTACGGAAAAACCCATCGCATGTAAACGGATGTTTCCGTTAACAAACTTTTAAATACAATGGGTTTTTTCCGTTAAACAACGGGTCGGCAGCTGCCGGATACTTCCGTTTAAATTAAACAAGTTTTTTCCGTTAAACAACGGAAAGAAAACTCAGCTGCCGGATAGTTTCCGTAAATAAAAGTAATATTTAAATAAATTATTTCTAGCAAATCTTATATATATAAAATCAATGGTATGTTTTTGAAAATATTTTCTGAAAACAAATTTTCTTTGATTAACATAAAAAATATTAAAATTTCCGTGATTTACATTTCACTTCAACAGCAAATACACAAATAAATAAAAAATTAGTAAAGCAATAAACGCTTTCTAAAAAATTATTAACAATTTTGATAAAGTATACACAAGCACATAATAATATAATTATATTACATATTCCTATATACATTTACAAGATAGATATACTTAAAAAATTATCTTTAAGTAATAGATATTGGTTAAATAACTAATTTAAATATATAAGTAAATCAAAAGCAATCTAAATATACAAAAATACTCTTTTTTTTTATTTTCCATTTTGAGTCAACTCTAAATCTAAAAAAAAATAAAAATAAAAATAAACAAAGTTTTTGAGTAAGGAAAGATTTTAATATTTAACAAAGTAATAATTATAAAAAACACTCATTATGTGCAATGGTTACCTTAAATTGTTACTCAATATAAGTAATTAAAGTAAAAAATTGTTAAAAACCAAAGTACCTATACAATACCTAATATATATGTATATATATATATATATATATATATATATATATATATATATATATATATATATATATATATATATATATATATACATATATATATATATATGTATATATATATATATATATATATATATATATATATGTGTGTGTATATATATATATATATATATATATATATATATATATATATATATATATATATATATATATATATATATATATATATATATATATATATATATATATATATATATATATATTGTTGTTTATTATTGTATCTGGTTGAGATACAAATCCTCTTGTTTACTTGAGAGTGATCAATATAATGTAAAAATAATTTTTACAAAATAGATCAATATATATAAATAAAGTGTAACTAAATAGAAAAATACAACTTTATAATGGAACTAAAAGTTTCATGCCTATCGGCAATCTTCAGCCATATATATTATACAAATCAAGAAAAAACCGTTAAAAAAATACAAAATACAAAAAAAGGGGATCGCCTAAAAAGCCGAATTCTAAAACGCCGAAAAGCCGAAATGCCGAAAAAAATGGCGTAATAATAGACTTCGGTAACCGTCAAAAAAAAAAACGAAAAGTTAAATATCCCCCGGATTTTTTGTAAATGCAAAGTTTAAAAGGACTTCTGTCCTTTTAAACTTGGCAAAAGCCAAATTTGGCTTTTGGTTCTGTCCTTTCAAACTTTCGCGAATAAAAATAGAAAAAGAGACGAAATAAAAATTAATGTTACAAAATTATTTTGAAACTTTTTTGCTAATTTTATATTTAGTTGTGTTATCGAAAAAAATTTGCGTAAAAATTATTAACTAATTAAATATTAAAATTTTTAATTAGAGTTATTCATTATGACCAGGGTGAACCATAAAGCAAGCGAATTCTCATAAATAATTGCACAAGAAAACTGTGTAAAGATAAAAACCCTTGTTGTTGTGTAAGAGAAACTACTGGTACACTACAACAATTCTAACCAAACTTGATCCTTAAGCAGAGAACATCTTTTATGATAATATTTCTTGTTATACGAGGTTGGAAAATATTCTATGTAGGCTTCAAACTCATGTAAGAATGAATCCTTGCACACTGAGCAACATTGACAAAAGATATCTTTGAGAATCTCTACCAATAATTTGCGCCTTCTACGAATCTTTTCCCGCATTCAAAGCTTTTGTGAGCGATGTTAAACAGACCAAAACATTGAAACATCGCAAATGACAGAACAAAATATACCTTTTAGCTTTTTTGGTCTCATTAAAGAGTTAAAGACTTTTTAGAAAGAGTTTTTTAATATACCTTGTTTTAAATATATATGGGTTTGAATCACATCAATTATTTCATTAAATAGAATAAAGCCTCGTGTAATCTCTAAAATACGCGGGCAATTAATTGCAACATATTTTTTTTCTAAGATTAAAGAGTTAATTCTTTTAAATTTTAGGTCGCTGAATTCGAAAAAGTTATCAAAAAAATTCCATCATGTAAGGTTTTTCTAAAAAACGCAAAATGCTGTGGGATTGTTTATTTTAGGGCGCAAAACGGGGTTTATTGCCAAAATATTTATTATTTTATTTATTAACTTATTATAAGATAATTTTATGTTTCGTAGGCTAAAACAAAATATTCAGTAACTCATGAAGATAATATTAGTAAGCGTTGAACCATATATATATCGGGATTTTCCATAGTAAGTATGGAAAATCCCGATATATACAAAACAACAATGAAATATTACTGAATTTGTTAAAAATGTGTACTTGTGTCTCTTGGTATGAAGATAGGCAATCAGGACAAATTTTGGGCTCCAAATGGAGTTTGTTCAGGGTGCGTTGAAGAACTTAGAATGTGGTTAAAAGGTAAAGTTAAATCTTTTCGTTTTGGTGTACCCATAATCTGGAGAGAGCCTCGAAACCACAGCGATGACTGCTACTTTTGTTCGTGTTATGTGCAGGGGTATAGTACCAAAAATAAAAAATAAATTTTTTATCCAAACATGGAATCAACACTCCACCCAGTCCCTCACGGACAAGCACCCCAAGCACCCCAAAAACTACACCACAAGCACCCCAAAGTCTAGATGATTTACCATCATTAGAAAGTGAATCAGAATAAAGTTCTTGTGACGAGTTTCAGTTAAGCGACTACAGTAGTCCTCAACATTTTTTTCAAGCTGAATTAAATAACCTGATCCGAGATTTTGGACTCTCAAAACAATCTGCTATTCAAAACATATCTGCAAAATAAATATTTTGAGCCCTTATTTTCCTCAATATGGTGAGATGGTCTATTGTTCCGATAACAATGGGTTAATATCCATGTTCAAAGTTCAACATATGGCTGAAAGTTGGAGACAGATTATTGATTCTTCAAAAAGAAGAATAAAAGCTTTTTTACTTCACAACAAGAATAAGTACGCATCAATACCCGTTGGTCACTCAGTGCATTTGAAGGCAACTTATTGTAACTTGGCATTGATCTTGGATTAATTAAAGTACAAAGAATTCGAGTGGACAGTTTGTGGGGATCTTAAAGTAATTTCTATGACACTTCGACAGCAAGGTGGTTACAAAAAATTACCCTTTTTTCTTTGTTAATGGGATAGTCGTGCTAAAACTAAACACTGGAAGCAAAAAGTGTGGCCAAAAAGAACATTGAAGATCGGAGATGAAAACGTGCACTTTGAATCTTTGGTTGATCCTAAAAAGGTCCTTCTACCACCACTCCATTTCAAACTTGGCATGATGAAGCAGTTTGTGAAGGCATTGCTAAAAGATGGTGAGACATTTAAATTTTTTTCAAGCAAATTTCCTGGTCTGTCTGAAGCAAAGCTGAAAGAGGGAGCTTTTGTTGGTCCAGACATTCGTGAGCTAATGAAAGATAACAACTTTGAAAATATGGTGAACTATGTTGAGAGGTCAGCATGGAATTCTTTTAAAGACGCAGTAACAAATTTTCTAGGGAATCAGAAAAACTCGGACTTAAAAAATATCGTAGAAAATATGTTGTGCAATTCTAAAAATCTGGGATGCTCAATGAGTTCAAAACTCCATTTTTTGAACTCCCATTTGGATTACTTCCCGGAAAATCTTGGTGCAGTTAGTGAAGAGCAAGGTGAGAGGTTTCACCAAGATATAAAAGAAATGGAGAGAAGGCATCAAGGTCGATGGGATACAAATATGATGGGCGACTACTGCTGGATGCTGCATAGGGAAAATGTAACATCCCACAAAAGAAAAAGCTCTAAACGAAGCTTCAAAACTAAAAAAACTAGATTTTATAAAGCTTTATAGTTGTATATAATTTATACAAATTATTTTATGATTTAAAATGAACCAAATTTGCATAGTTTTACCATTTTTTTTCTTCTTATGATTATTGTCTAAAATAGTAGTGTAAGGCGGGCTTTGTCCATATTTTATTTTCGACTTAGTGGAAAATCCTTACGTAATGGGTCGAAATGGATGGTATTATTGAAATCAGCATACCAAAATACATACAATTCACCCATTCCAAAAAAAAAAAAAAAGTTTTAATTTGCAGACCTGTGTAATTAATAAATATATTTTAAAGCTCCATTATTTATAAAAACTTAAAAGTTTTAATAGTAATAGCAAATATAAAATGCGAATTAAAAAAATATTGGCGGTACCCACATAGACCGTAATAAATTTTTAAATGTTAAAACTTTTTTTTAAAAGTTAATTATTAGAGAAATAATTATTTAGCACCGATACTGTTACTTTCTAAATTAATTGATGATGTCAAGTGTAGGAATAAAAAAAGAGTTTCTTTAAAATTACAAATAAAAACGTTTTGTCATATTTTGGAGCACTGTTAAATAATATGTAACAAAAACGAATAAAATGCAAAAGAGTAAGAAAACCCAATTTACTATCTGAAACATAATTTTTAATTTTGGAACTGAAAAACTGATATTGTTACATTAACTATGCACAACATCCTGTGCTGAACACAACCAGCCATATAATAAAGGCTACCATTCACCTGATTATTTACAAACTAATTGTCTTTTTTTAATTAATCACATATATAAGTAATTTCATCTTTTATCAGGTCGATCGTGCAACGATCTTTATGCTAGAGCAACGACAATCAGTTTCTTCAATGAATTCATGTTTGCTGAGTAATTTCAACCGTTGAAGACTAAAACTGTTCATTACTCGTTTTGCTGATATAACATAATTATCGCCATTTAGTATCTACAGATAAATAAATATTTCATAATATTTAATAATAAGGCTAAATAAATTAGATTGAATATGAAGTGATTGAGTTTTAAAAAAATTTGAAACAGCAATTGTCAAATAAAAATCACTGCCAAATTTATGCCTTATAAATTAACACTTTTGAATAAATGAGTAAAAAGTCTTCTTAAGTAATGTTTTTATTTCACCCACCCACAGTATATATAAAATCAGAAAAGTATTGGGTTGTCTATATTTTAAAAATGACATATCTTATGTACCAGCAACAAAAAAAGTATATAACCTGTCAATGCCAAATTCACTTTTAAGAGTTTTTGAAAGATGCCAGGAAGAAAGGATTGGTAATCTTCTGAAATTGATTTTTTTTATTACTTCTTGTAGTATATAGACTAAAGCCAGATTAGTTTGTGAAAAGTACTGTAACGTCTAATTTCCTTGCCCTCTCACATTTTAAAAGCTACATCAGCATACACTAAAATACATTTTAAAAAATAATTTATTTTTTAGAATTTATTAATAAAAAAGAAAAACCTTATAAGCTGTTTACCTGAAACATGGGTCAATGAGACTTTTATATATTGGCATACAAGCTGGTTGCCAGTGTTTTTACATACACCCATATTCAAAGTTAATTTTTGATATCATTTGAAATAGATGTCAACCTATATCGCAATTTTTGGGTGTCTATGTTACATAAATCTATCTATGTTAAAGAAGTTTTACATAACATGAAAATATATAACAATATATAACTATTTTATGAAAATTTGTATTATGATGCAAAACAAAACAATACCAATTATACCAGATTTATTGATAAAAAAAGCAACAACTTTAAAAACATTTTCTGGAAAATTTTAACTAAAACTTCTTTCAAATTATTCGCAAACTCACTGTAAGTGTTTCAAAAGCTATATATAAATAACAGAAATTACTCTAATAAATAAAAAAACACAACTTTTTTATTATAAAACATAAATATATCGTGTTAGTTATAATATTATCACTATATAGTAAAAATGAATCTAAAATCTTAAAACTTTACAGTGCAATTCATATCAGTTCAAAAAGCATTAATCAATAAGATAAATGACATGGTTTGCAACTTTATTTTGCCAATTATATGGTATCATCTTGGTTAGTTTTCCATTTTTTTGCATACCATCATAAAAAAACCATTGATCTCTTATGTAGTGCAAAGATGTAAAGTGAGCATTAAGTCCAAGAGTTATGCATGCCAAGGAAAAGTAACATTTTTCAATTAAATTTTTTTTTGGTAAATTCATCAGCGAAGAAATTGAAATGTTAGGAATATCACACTCAATCACAATCATCCAAGTATTTTGAGATTTTAATGTCGTGCCACAGTGATTTAATTCTTTATTGCCACAAACTAAACAATTTAGAAGCAATCTTTTATCTTTCAAATAACCTAGCAAATAATCTGTTGGGTCATGGTTTGGAGGCAGTTCTATAAAATCAAAAAGATGAAAAGAACTATTTAAACATGTAAAACATTTTCCAACACTCTCGAATGTAAATGCTTCTTTAAAGTGGTTGAAAAAAAATGTTTTAGATGATCCATATAAGTTAAAACAAGGTGAGCTTGTAATTTGTATTTTACTTTTTAAAAAGGATGCCCAGATTTCTTTACCATAATTGTCATCATCATTATTTAAATATCTCATTGCTTTTTTAAGCTCTATTTCTGCTTCTGAAGTACCAAGGCGATTTAAAAAGTACTTATCTGCATGGCAACGCAACTTCAACATTGTTAAAGTGTTATCAATTGTGCAACTGTTTAAAACCAAACCAACACCCCATTGAAGTCCTCTTGAAATAGGGTATTTTATTTCAGGCACAGTAGATTGCTCATTCTGCTTTATACTGAAACTTTCATTTTTTGGAACTGCAAGTTCACAAAAATTCAATGTTTTTAAATTCGAATCAATATCACATTTCCTTGGTTTTTTTTTGCCTGATTTTCTCTCAACTTTAAGCCTATTTTTTTGTATAAGTGAAGTTAAGTTTCTTTTTTTCCCTTCAAAGTGTTCTAAACTATTTACATTTCCAGAGAGATATTGAACTGCTAAAATGTGAACACAATTTTTCGAGGCACCACAAGTACAATGTGCAGGTGGGTTCAAATTTACAGAATGAATAATTGTTTCTGATTCTTTCACTGACCAACTTCGATTTTGGGGAACAAATACAACTCCGTTTTTATTTAATATATCCTTTGCTAATGAGGATATTGAATAAACAAGTTTTGGAAGATCACTTTTAACTGGTTTTTCAACTAATATCTCATGGCTTTTACAGCTTCATCATACTCTGATGATGAAAATTTACCATTCTTTTGCATCCATTCCTTTACATTTTGCAATAAATGGTTCCAACATACCAAACTTTTTGTATTATCAAAATAATGGGAGCCATCAAACTCACGATCAGAAATGAATAACTTCCTGGATTTATTAAAATTTTTTCCGCAAACATTTTCTTTTAATGTTTGAAAAAAGTATTTGTGATTTTGTGCTAATCTTTTTTCATGTATAAAAAATGCAAAAGGAACAGTAGGCAAAGAATATAAGTATTTATTCCTTTTTGTTTCCAAACAAACGTGTCGATAAGCTAAGCATGACAAATAATAATTTCCTAAATTGAAAGTTGTGTCATAGTGAAGTGTAATTTCTTTACAAGGTAGTAATTCTAACATTTCTTCCATTTGTGCAACAATTTTTTCACAACACATAACAATACAGATGTCTGGATAGCTTTCTATTTTTCGAACAAATGGATGAATGGAATACGCAACAAGATGACTATTCCAAACCTCATCCTTATTATGAAAATTATTTTTTTCAGCATTTCTTGTCATAATATTTGCAACCTGTTTAGGATTTCTTGGAATAATAGAAGTTGAAATATGACCACCTGGGTCATTTGATAAAAGGCTCCTATATGCATCCATGGGTTTATTTTTCCCTTGAGCCAAAACTTGATCAAAAACATAATGCGATGATCTGTAAAAAAAAGATTTTGATTTTGTTGAATTTCCATGACATCTATCAACATATGATTTTTCATTGCCCAAGTAATGAACCAATGCTTTTTTTCCATTTTGCAACATATATTCATGCTTTTCAAAATTGTTAGTATATGTTTTACCAACTCTTGCGTAAAAATATGTCTTAGTGATTAAACCATTTCCTAATGCACAACTTTTTTTGTTCCTCCACATATAGCCATCTGCTCGCAAATGCTTTTTTAATGTTTTGTCACTGGAAATTGTAAACCCATAAATTTTTCCTGCTTTGGGACGAACAGGTATAGTTTCTTCTCCATTATTAAAATAAGTAGCATTTTATAATAGAGTCAGAACTTCATTAAAGGTAAGCGCCTCTGTTTTTTTAGTTATGGCAGGAGTTGCTGCAGTTATGTTCAAAGTTGCTTTTGAATTTTTTGATGTCACAGATTTTTCTGATGTCATGAAAAGTGGAATAAAAACTTTGTCAGAAGTTTCATTATGCATATTAACCTCAATTACATTTTGATCTTTAAGGCTCACATTTGTATTTAAATAAGCTGTTGATGTTTTATTATTGATTGTATTAGAATAAGATTGATCAACAGGTATTATTTGCAATGCATAGTTGTGGTCATTTTGAAACACAAATAGAAATTGGTGTCTGAAACTTTCTAAATGTTGAAGGGAATATTTCTGCTCATAAAACAAAGATCTTTCTTGTTGGTTGGCCATAAATTTGAATTTTGAAAAAAAATGTTCTTTTTCATAATTTTCAATTTTGAGATTCATTCAAAGATACAAAAAATAATTCAGAAAAAAATTGGTAATTTTTTGTTGTTGATAAATTTAAGTAAAAAAATAACAATAAAGGTAATAAAAATAATATTAAATACTTAGTAAAAACAAATACACATTTAAGGCATACATAAATTAAATTGTTATGGTAAAAAATGTCATATTTATTTGGGAAAATTTTTGTAAATGTTCTAATCTATCTAAAAATTATCATCTACATCTTAAAAATTTAATAAAACCTACATCTTATTATGATTTCCAAAAAAACATAAAAAAAGTTTACACTATTCTATTAGCTTCATATTAAAATTGATTAAGATATAGGTCAATTTATTTTATCTTTTCTCAGAAAACTACATTCTAATTACCAATTTAAAAACATTGCCATAATCTTATCAACTTCAGATTAAATTTATTTAAAAACATAAATAAAAACTTGTATGTGTAACAAGTGAAGACTGTGCAATGTTATGCAAAAATAGTGTCACAATTCAGAGAACTAATGAAAGTTTTGCATTCTAAGAAAAATATTAATCCACTGGAAACTATGCGGATTAGAAATTACTTAATTTCAGAATCAAAAACTAATAAAGGAGTAGTTAAATTTCACAAATCTTTCATATATATATATATATATATATATATATATATATATATATATATATAATATATATATATATATATATATATATATATAGATATATATGAAAGATTTGTGAAATTTAACTACTCCTTTATTAGTTTTTGATTCTATATATATATATATATATATATATATATATATATATATATATATATATATATATATATATATATATATTGGATATATATATATATATATATATATATATATATATATATATATATCCAAACTTGATTGCTATCAACACAGTGCAACATAAAAATCGTAAATTATCTGGACATTACATTAAACCTCAACAACCACACCTACCAACCTTACTCTAAACCCGGAAACTCTTTAAATTACATTCATGCTGAATCAAACCACCCATCCAGTATTTTAAAGCAACTCCCACATTCTATTGAATTAAGATTATCAGCAAATTCGTCAAGCGAGGAAATCTTTCAAAAATCCACTCCAATGTATAATGAAGCATTAAAAAAGTCCGGTTTTAATTACAATCTTTCTTACCAACCTAACTTAAGATTATCTCACACTAAGAACCGTAAACGTAACATCATTTGGTTCAACCCGCCTTTTAGCAAAAACGTCAGCACGAATATAGGAAAAATATTTTTAACATTAATTGATAAGCACTTCCCTAAAAATCACAAGTTGCACAAAATTTTTAACAGAAACACATTAAAAGTAAGTTATAGCTGTATGCCTAATATGAAATCCGTTTTAAACGCCCACAATCACCATGTCATAAACAACAAGAAAGAATCAGCTGAAAATAATTGCAATTGCATAGATAAAAACACCTGCCCTTTATCAAACCAATGCTTAACAAAAAATATAGTATATCAAGCTAATGTATGCTCAAACAATCTTGTTCAATCTCCCATCAATAAATTTTACATTGGCATAAGCGAAACATCTTTTAAAATTAGATATGCTAACCACATTAAATCTTTTAAAATTCCCAAATACAAAAATGACACTGAATTATCAAAGGAGGTTTGGAGATTAAAAGATGAAAACTTAAACCCGGTTGTTAGGTGGAAAATAATTAAACAGTGCGATGCCTATAACCCTGTAACAAAACGATGTAACTTATGCTTAAACGAAAAGTACGAAATTTTATTTTTTAAACACCCAAATTTGTTAAATAAAAAGAGTGAAATATTATCTAAGTGCCGGCATAAAAACAAATTTCTTCTTGCCCAATTTGACACTGGTGATTAGCAGTTTTACAACTATGCTTCTTTTTTATTCGGTTTTTTATTCGTTTTGTTTTGACGTCGGAACTCATTCTAGGTTAGCGTTCTATCGGATGATTCAAAATAACATTTTGAACTTTTAAAAAAACGCAGACCTAGAATGTTTTCATCTGCTTGTACGCATGCGTTTAAATTAAATCAAGCACGCTGGATTTTTATAAAACGAGCTCTTCTGACATAATATTCTATATACACTATAACTATATATATGCAGTATAGTTATATATGTACATATGTAGTATGTTATATATGTACATGTGTAGTATAGTTATAGTTATATATGTATAAATGTGTGTTTATAATAATATTATATACACACTTTTACAATATTGTTGTATATGTGTGTATATAACAAACGTTGTATATATTAAATATATACTGATATACAATATGTATATATATAATTATATAAATATATATTATTAAATACATATATAATTAAACAAATATATAAAATTATATATATATAAAGTTATAATATACGTTGTATATGTTAAATATACACAGATACACAATATATATATATATATATATATATATATATATATATATATATATATATATATATATATATATATATATATATATATATATATATATATATATATATATATATATGTATACATATATATATATATGTATATATATATATGTATATATATATATATATATATATATATATATATATATATATATATATATATATATATATATATATATATATATATATATATGTATATATATATATGTATATATATATATATATATATATATATATATATATATATGTATATATATATATATATATATATATATATATATATATATATATATATATATATATATATATATATATATATATATATATATATATATATATATATATATATACAATTGTATTATTTCATAAAACTAATTGTCAATGTTTATTTTAGTTAAAAAGTTATAATGGAAGCCAATGACCAAACTAATGAAAAGTTAACTTCTTTAAAGTCAATTGTGGAATCTAGTAGGTTTTCATTATTTTGTATTCATAATTATATTGCAAACCTCCTTTTTAAAAGAATATATTTCCTTTATGAAATGATATGCCTTTTTTTATAAAACAAGTATCACCAAAAAGAGTTATATCTTTGAAAGAGCAGATAGGTATTTGCTATTTATTTTAATTTACATTTAATTTCTGATAGAGCCAGAATTATATTAAAGTTTATTTAGAAATCTTTTTTCTTTTTTTAGCTTGCAAACAGGATGAGTTAGGTAGGTAATTCATGTTAGAGGTTTTGTTATTAATTAAAATACAGTTCTATATATGATATAAAACAAAGCTTGTAATATGTTGCATCAAAGATTTAAAACTATTTTGTTTTGTAGAAAAAAGGAAAGCAATACTTGGTAATTTTTAGTTATGTATTTATTTAAACTGTTAACAAATTTATTCATATTTAAGTTATTTTTTACCTTAGTTTAATACTTTTTTTTTTAATTCTTATTTTTTGCTTTAGACGTTGCTGAGAAAAGAACAAAAAGATTTTTTAACAGTTTTTCAGGTATGAAATACCTGAAAAAGATTTATATCTTAGGATTTTATGTTTCAAATAATATAATACTTTTGCATTATTTGTTTCATTTAAATTTTTTCATGCACTTTTATTTTTTCTCTGGTGATCTTTTTTTTTTGATTAATTTGTTTATAAACTAATTCACACTAAACAACATATCTTACAGTATGTTTAATAGTTCAATGTTGTATTGTTCAAGAATACTTATAAAGGACTGGAACATTGTCTAGACCACAAATGTTTTTTATGTGAGAAATATCTTAAGCAACGGAATCAAGAGTAATTTGGATGTCTATCAGTGGATTAACTGGTTATGCTGGAATGACAGCCAGAGTTTGATCATAAGAATCAAGAAACAAAATAAAGGAAAAGTTCTTTGTAAATAGTTTTTGCTTTATCTTTGAGAGAGATACTTAAAGTAGAGGTGGAATGTTAGATGTTGGCTACTCTGATGATATTTCCCAAAAGTTTATAGAACTTAAATTTCTGAAATAAGATTCCACATTTGGTTATCTGAGACAATGACCTTTAGTGTCAGACAAGACCTTTTTTTGATCAATTTTTGCAATGATAAAAGAATCTTTTTTTAAGAATCTTTTCCCTTTAAAAAATGATCAAGAATACCAGTAACAACTGCACAAATAGGGAAAAGCCTTCGGATAGAGTGAAGCTTGACTTGAAACCGAAATAAACACTTCTATCCCTTTCTCAATCCAGGAGATAGTAGGTAATTGTTAGAAGTTTTATTTATTGCTATGAAGATTTATTGGATTTTTTACTTTGAGATAATGTAATTGTAATTAGATTATTTTAAATATGTATATTTTAAAAATAGTTGCTATTGATGATAAAGATTATAAAGGTATTTAAATTAATATTGGTTTTATGTTTACTAAGTTAACATCTTTTACTCATTATACCTCTATTAAAGCATTAATAATTATGATTCAAGATTTGTGTAGTTTTATTTGATAACATTTCTATGCGTTTCGTTTATCTTTAGAGAGAGAAGTCTTGAAACAATTGGGTTGTTACACTTACAGTGTTTATTATACAACTTACTTATTATATTGAATTTTTTAATTTAATTAATTTTTTTGTTTTTTGTTTTAATTTAACTCTTCTTTTTTAATGAAACCTGTTCATATTCAGAAGCCGAGGAAGATGAAATTGGTAAGCTTTATAATCATAAAATTTAGAGGTTTAAACGCTGTTTTTTTAAACTTTATGATCTTCATTTCACATTTAGCTTTAAAAGAAATGCAAATGAAGCAAGGTAATATATTTTATATTGTTCTGTGGTTTAACTTATTTTTTGTTTTGATACGCAATTGAATTATCTTGGTGATTTATTTTTAGAAATACTCAATGAGGAAATAGGTATATGTTGTTTGTACTTATTTTTATGATAAAATAACTTTGAAAAAGCAAATGTCATACAAAATTGCTTATCGTTAGTTGCAAAAAATTAATTTTTTTTTTATGATAATAAACTGATTATGATTATTAACAAAATGTTATGTAAACACTTGTGCGTAAACGTTTTTTATAGATATTTACAACTTTTACTTATTTTTTTTTTTTTTTTTATAACACTGTTACTATTTTTTTCATTGTTTCAATATCAAATATTTTAGTCAATTTAAGGTTACTCTGTTACTAGTAACATGTAACCTTTCAAAATCTACTTCATTTATAGGAGGGGGGGGGGAAGGCTCATCGACTAGAGTGAAAGCAGAATCTATGATATAAAACCCTAATTTTGAGTAAAGGTAGGAGGAGTAGCACGTTAACCTGGGACGGTAATTTTTCTAGTAGTAGAATTGCGTGATAAAATACTCCTTTATCTGTATAACAGGTAAAAATCAAGAAGGTTTATCTGATTTAAAAAAAAGTACTTTGACTCTTCTCTAATATCAAATATGATACGTTATGAATATAATGTAAAGCCATGCATATCACACAAGTGGGAATACATGAATGTTAAAAAATCGGTTGGTTTCGATTTAATCAAGTATATTTTGGAGCCACTTTTTCACTTCTATTTAAGCAAATTCACAATAAGTAAAGTTTTTGCAATTAGTTTGAATATTAACAGTTGTTAAAAATAATTATCTTGTTTAATATTTACATTTTGTTTTGTTTTGTTAAAATTACTTATCTAGTTTTAAAATGTACTTTTGTTTATAGTTCGCAAACAGGATGAGTTAGGTACGTAGTATGTATTGCAGTTTTAACTAATTTACTAATTTTGCTAAAAATATTGTAAAAAGTTGCATTAATGCAAAGAAATTTTTTTTAGCTAAAAGAAAAGCATTGCTGGGTAAAAATAATGTTTATCTGTGTATTTTATATATTGAATATTCTGAACGTTATTAAGTTAATATTGAATGAATTAGTGTTTGTTGACTTTTCTATCCTCAAGAGCCCATCATTACCTGTAAAAATAAATAATAAATTTGTTTGGTTTGCTAAAGTTATTTTTACTTTTTAAGTTATGAATCATTAGTTGAGTTATTCCAAGGTATTTGAAATGTGTTTGCATTACTAGTATCTACAAATTAAAAACCTTTAGAAATCTGTGCAAGCTAGATTAAAATAAGTATAAATAAAATTATAATATTTATAATAAAATTTGACTAGTACGCAAATGTTTATACAAAAAGTTTGTTTAAGGACCACAAGAAAAGATTTGCGAACCAAAAAAGAAACGTATGTGTTATTTTTTTAGCACATTTAACTTTTAGTTTTATCTCGTTATTAATTTCTTACTTTCACATTTTAAACATTTTATAGAACTTACGCGGGACGATTTTCTAAGTTGGCGACGAGAGCACGACGGGCCAAAATCTCGTAGTGCCTTCAAGGTTTGGCGACGCAATGGCGGTAGAGATTTTGAAAATTTCCGTAACAACTCACGTCGTGGAGGTGGTCGAGGCGGTCGGAAAAGAGGCGTCGTGGTGAATCACTATTACTAATTTTAAATATAGTATATAAATGCGAAAAAGTTGTGTTTTTATATTGTTAACCTACTTTTGTACTTTTTTTCCTCAACTTTGAAAAATAGATTAAAGTCAAAAAAAAAATAAGAATAATATACACACACTTTCAAAACGTTACAATTCTTCAAGTATTCTTCACCCCTCTCCCGTCCCACATCAATGGTTTTTTCGTTTAGTCAGCAAATTTGACCCTTTTAGACAAGTCAATCGGCTAAATTTGTTTTTTTAGTCAGCATAATTTTTATTGGCAACCCCACGTGACACCTACTGGAGCCGTCCTTGTTTATATATATATATATATATATATATATATATATATATATATATATATATATATATATATAAATTATAGCAAAATGGCATAAAAAAACAATTTAGTCATTAAAAGATCCTAATATAATAATATGCATTTGATGATTTCTCAAGTTTATTTTAAAATATCTAAAAAATATAACCAAAAATAACTGCAAAAAAAATGCAAAGAATATAAGAATCTATGGATGATATTAATTTTCATTAAAGCATCAAAAAGAAAACAAAAACTTTACGTAAAATACTTAAAAAAAAAAAAAAAAAACAGATAATGGAAAAATCTCCAAAAACTATAAAACATTTTTTAAAATAAAGTAAAAAAAAGGTATTTTTTTATCAGCTTGATTAACATAAATTCGACATTTATAGAACTTGGACTGTTATAAGTGAAGAGGAAGAGGAAAAAAAGTTATCCTAACTAACCACAAAAACTTCTTTTCGATTAAAAAATTATAACTAGCGAAACAAATATATGTCAAGATCTTAACAAATATTTTGTTAATGTGGCGTCCCAATCTTGAAATGTAACCCCACTCTCATACTTTTAACATTGTGCAACTAAATCAAACATTTGATAATTTTTGGGAGAAGAACCCAATACTAGTATAAATAATGAAATGATAACGAAACTTGAATTTAATAAAGCAACTATTTAACTTAACCGCAACAAGTTATATTCTCAAAAAAGGTGATTTCAATGTTTCTCTTTTCATTTATTAAATCAAATACCGTAAACCGGGGTAACTTAGTACCAATTTTAATAAAGAAGATAACTTGAGTATAAACCTACGGGGTAACTTTGACCACCCTGTAAAAAAACTAGAATGCTGTTACTTGAGCCAAAAACTTTTCGCCTAATTTTATCTGAACGTTTGTCTTTAAAACAGAAGAAAAACTGAGTTGTTTGCTATCATTTTTTATCTTCGCCCAGACAACATTTTGTTTTACAGTTTTTGATGGTGTTTTACCAAGATGTAGTTTTTATTCTTTTTTACTTATAGTAAAAATCATTTTCAACAAACTTCAGATCAAAATTTAAGCAAGAAAGATTGCATTTACAAATAAAACGAAAATAATAAAACGTTACTTAACTGTTTCAAAGTTACAAATGTTTAATTAAACTTTTTAAAAATGGCCAAAGTTACCCTTTTTAAAAATTATCAAAGTTAACTGTACTTGTATTTTTTTTTGTAGTTGTAAAAGGATTATTTAATCTTATTGGTTAATTTTTTTTTTATAACTACCTCTCTACTTTGTATAAGTTTTAAGTTTTTTTATCGGCGGTTTATTTTTTTTATATAACTACCTCTATACTTAGTTTAAGTTTTTCATCATGTTTTAATTTTTTCACCGGGGGCTCTCTGTGACGAGACCTGATGATTTTCTTTGAGTATCTGCGTTATTTATTTATTAATATTTACGTTATCTTCACTTGTACTTTTTCACTTGTATATTGAATATTTTAATAAAGAACAAAACAAAAACACACAAAACAAAATTATCCATAAATTGTGGAAAAAAATAACTTTACTCTTTTTGTATATCTACATATGTATATCTATATCTATATCTATATATATATATCTATATCTATATATATCTATATCTATATATATATATATAATTTAACAAATAAAAATAAAGTACAAGGTTTCATTTATCCAAATAAACAAAAAAATTATTTTTTCATTTTCTTTAAAATTTACAATTAGTTTATATTCATTTTATCAAAGTTTCTCAGATTAATTTTGAGTTTTTAATATTTAGCGTCTATAAAAAGGGATTTTTATTCGGTTAATATTAATTTGTAGCGTTTTCAGTTTAGATTAATTTTCTTTTTCGTCTTGGCATTTAGTTATGAATCAAAAGGAAAGTATATGAACTTAACCTTTTGAAATCATTTTTATCAGTAAGCACCAACGTGAAGGTAGCCAAGATACGCTTACCGCCCTAAAAAAAAGTAAGAAGCATTCTCAGATTTCATTAACTGGAAAACCATTTTACACTCTATGTCACTATATTAATAGAGAGAATCTAAAATGAGGCGCCTCACAGGAAAAGGTACCAAGTCTTTATTTCTAGACTCGAAGATATACGCGTTTTAAGAAAAGAAAAAAAAAGTTGAAAAATTTGAATCTAGCTTTATTCTTTTTTCGAGCAGTTTTATAATTATTTAGTAATAGTTTTTAAAATAAATATTCAAAATATACATTAACTTTATTACTATTTTTAAGTTACACAGTTTTAAAGTATGTCAAACTTTAATAACTCATATTATACTGTAATTTCATTTTTAAAACACTTCCTTGAAAAACTATGTAAAAAGAAAATGTAACAATAATGATGCTATCAAGTTAATTTTTGTTTTATTTTGTGTCTTATTATTATCCTCTATGCAACTGTATCAGTAACTCCATTTCTAAGACTTGGTACCTTTTCCTGTGAGATGCATCTCATATATATATTCTTTTTATATAGCCCTAACGGCTTATACCACAAAAAGGCTCTATTTCATTAGTATACCGATTCCAATTAGGTATAAGCAGTTCAATGTCAATAATTTTACCAGCACAATGACACAAACAAATCAAATAGGGCATTTTATACCAGTACAAAGACAACAGTATATTTGTGCCAAATGTTAAAAATACATGTCATCAAAATGGTATAAATCTATAGTGAAAGATTTAAACTACATTAAATCATCATGTAAAATGGTTTATTGCAATAATACTATAGTTGCAATAATTATCAACAACTTAAGACAATGCCTAAAAAGATTTAATTTTTAAACTATTGGCAGATATATAAAATTAAAAAACAATACAAGCCTCATTTCATGACAAACTCTTTTTATAGCCTCAATTTTATGACTAACTCTTCTTACAGCTGTGACAATTCCATAGTTCATCTTCTGTTTCATAGGCACTCTGCGGTATCTTTTTGCATTCGCGATGATACCATTTTTGGCAAGTGTTACATTGAGCCCCTGCAACATCCATTAGCGGTTTTAGAAAGCCATCGTTCCCATGCTTGTTCACGATGAAAGTCACAAATATGTACCTGGCATCCTAGTTAATGAATCATTTGTTAATTTTAAAAAACTCTTCATTATATAGCACCAAAGATAAATTTGCCAATTTGATGTTTACTAGAGCACCACTATTGGTACATATAAAATAACAAATTCTAAAAAATCTTACCAGGGAAAACAGATTCAAGTGAATTTATTTCTTCATTGCTGTAATCAGTTAAAAAATAAGTTGGTTGAAACAATAGATTCCACTTTTTGATGTACATTAGGGCTTCTGTAATTGCCTCAGTTGTTTCATTTTCACAAACAAAAATTGCAACAACTTGATAATCAATATTTGTTTTGACAACAAGAAAAAAAAGTGGAAGCGCATATCGCGTTGTACGATATGTTGCATCCAGAAAGGCAAGCTCATTCCCATATCGTAAGAGTAATCTTTGTTGCCATGCATCTTGATAAATAAACAAAAAAGAATCTTTAGGATATGGACCATTGTCTTCTAGATTGCATTCTCCTTTTGGCCGAAACATTATTAACGCATCTGGAAAATAGAGTTTCCATTCATTTATCTTTTCACGAAGACATTCTTGATCTATCAAAGATCTGCGAAGACTTTGTCTAGCTTTCTTTATATGATTAGCAATTGTTTCATCACGCGGAAAAAATCGTTTGTTGGATTTCTTTGCAGTCACATCTGACTGAAGTTCCAGATGAACAAAGGCATTCAGGTGACGTCTCATTTCCGGAACCGTATTGACACCATTTTTAACAAGTTCAGCAATTTTTGTAATAATTTCTTTTGATAAAGGCTGATTAAAACCTGCTGCCTATATATATATATATATATATATATATATATATATATATATATATATATATATATATATATATATATATATATATATATATATATATGTATATATATATATATATATATATATATATATATATATATATATATATATATATACATACATATATACACACACACACATACAAAATATTGTAAACAAAAAAAAAAGTAAGGTAAAAATAAAATAAATTTTCAATCAAATGTAAAAGTGACACATTAAACTTATTAAATTAAGTATAAAAACAAAATTTACATCATTAATAAGATGATTTTTATGAACGGAAATGTCAGGTAACAATAAGATATACTTTCTAAGAATTGAAAATTCAGTTAGAGTTGTCAAAGCTGAATGCAATTTCTTTGATGCTTCTCTTCTACCTCTTAGAGAATCTCTATCCAGCTAAAATAAAAACAAACAGATTTAGTAAAATATTTAAAAGAAAAACCTATTTGCCATAAATGAGAACAGTAAAATATAGACTTAAGAAATTTGAAACCTCCTAAAATTGTAATATTAGTTAAAGGTTTATTTAAGCATCAAATATAATGAACAAAGTTGAAAATACAAACAACATTTTTTGATTCGAACCTCGGACCTCTGGGTTCTGAGCCAGAACTCTAACCACTATGCCACAGCTGCTCAAAGTTTTAATATTTATTTATTATCTCATTTTCCCTCGTTTCTTGTTTATTATTTCAATTAGGATTTAGCTATTAATTTCTGTCTGTTTTGATGTTATAGGAGGCTCAATAATTCTTTTTGATTATGGATCAAATGATCGAGACCGGTTACTGACTGATAATAGTTTTTTAGTTGCTTAGGATTACAAATATATAACTTTCTATAATTATATACAACAATGTAGGGTCTATGATGTTTTCTTTGAATTTCTCTTATACTCTTTTTCTTATTTTCTATGCCTCTAGGCTATCTTCTTCTCTTCTAACTGTTTGCTAGATTTGGAAGTTTGGTTGTGTTCAGTCACAGCAGAGAGTACATAGAAGAACTGACTCAAATAGAGTTAAATGCAGATAAGTGTACATACATCAAGCAAACTTTAAATAAGTTTATAAGTTAGACTACCTCACCTTAAAAGCAGGGAATTCAACTATTTCTTTTAGAGAAATATTGGCAGGACAATCAAACTTCTTGGTATCCTGCATAAGAACTCGCTTTTTCTGGAAAGAATGATCTGCTGTCTGTGAATTAAAAAAAAAAAAAAAACTATTGTATTAAAAATAAATCAACATATATTGTTGTATAATTTACCAAAACACTTTCTTCTGAAAACACAATGAAGATTATATATTTATTGTATAACTTTTAAACTGTAAAATCTGAACTAGCACATTGTAGCAGACAACATACCAAATAAAATCTACATTTTACTTACTGCTTCTTGGTTTTTTTTCATTCTGTACTTATTTTTTGCTGCACAATTTTTGTCTTTACCCTGTTGGCAGTAAAGAATACTAGATGAAGAAAAAATAAAAGGTATTCCTGAATAGGGATAATCTTTATGCTCAAAATACACCTTGCGATTTTTTTTCATTATATCTAAGTGAAAAAAATTATGAATTATTTTCAAGCAATAAAAACTTATTTAATGTAGCTATTAAAATATTTACTTTAACTATTAAGTCAATAACCTAGTTTCTTTTTGAATAATGTGGTTCTTTAATGATTATTATAAATTAGATAACTATTTTTTGAATAAATATAAAAGTAACATAAGTAATAATATAAAACTCAAAACTTTTGCAAACCTTCTATGCTTTTTTCCATGCTTTGTTTAAAAGCAACAACGTAATGCACTGTGTGTAACATTTCATGTTCTTTAATTTTAGCACAGACATCTCCATATGACGCTAAAATATGCCTAGTTTCTAAATTTGCAGTTGGATATGAAATTACAGGAGTGTTTGGGTATGAATCTATTTGTAATAAGCAAAGCAGTAATTACTAGGATATACAACACACAGTAGATATGTATTATATTCATACAATATTAAAATATATTATACATTAAAAATTAATTTAAAACATTACATACATATAAAATACATAAATACAAAACATGCACATACATTATGTATATTCAAAATATGCACTAACGTATGTACGTATGTAAATATTTTATTAAAACTTTTCATAAAAGAGACCTTTGTTTTCTTATTCCTGAAACATTATTCTACAAAAATATCCCATTAAAAAGTTACATTAAAGAATAAAAATTACCCGATAAATCTTCCAATTGGAGAGAAAGTTCATCTTTACTCATTCTTATTTAAATAATAATGCAAAAGTTTATATAAAGCAAACTTCGTGCAAATTTTTATAAACTCGTTTTATAAAAATCCAGCGTGCTTGTTTTTAATTTAAACGCACGCGTATAAGCAGATGAAAACATTCTAGGTCTGCGTTTTTTTAAAAGTTCAAAATGTTATTTTGAATCATCCGATAGAACGCTAACCCTCATTCTACTGCTTTTTTTGTATTTTGTATTTTTTAACGGTTTTTTCTTGATTTGTATAATATAAATGGCTGAAGATTGCCGATAGGCATGAAACTTTTAGTTCCATTATAAAGTTGTATTTTTCTATTTAATTACACTTTATTTATATATATATATATATATATATATATATATATATATATATATATATATATATATATATATATATATATATATACATATTATATGTATATATATATACATATTATATGTTTATGTATATATATACATATATATATATGTGTATATATATATATATATATATATATATATATATATATATATATATATATATATACATATATATATGTATATATATACATAAACATATAATATGTATATATATATACATATAATATGTATATATATACATATACCTATTAAATGTATATGTATATATATACATATTATATGTATATGTATATATTATATGTATTATCTTTTTAGTTGCAAGACACTGTATGTCAAAATTTAGTTTCTGGATTTCATACATGTGGAATATATCCAATAAATCGTATGATCATTTTAAAAAAGATGCCAGAGTTCCAGACACCAAGAGCATTGACAAAGCTTCTTTTAAACGATTCAGTAACAACTTTGTTAAGGTCTCATCCTGGTGCATATGAAACAAAATAATCCAGGGATAATAAGTAAAACATTGCATAAGGGGCAGTTTTAAATGTTGTTGCAGATAATAGCACTGATATTTGTTTCATCTGTGGAACAGAAGACGACGATGAAACCGATGAAATTATTGAAGGAGAAGAGGAAGTTTCAGTTGATTGGACTGACTGTGAACGTTGTGGTCATTGGTATCATTCAAAATGTTTGGGAGATGCTATGTCGATTAAGTGCATTGTATGCCATAAACAATAATTTCTCTTGTATTTTTTTAAAGGCAAAATGACTTCTGCATTATTCAATTGACAGTAATGAGTTAATTAAATGTATAATTCTAATAAAAAATATTGATTCTTAATTATTATTTATTATATATAAGTATATTTGAAATAGTTTATCAATAGTTTTGTTTTTGTTCTGTTATATAAAATAGGACTGTTCTCTTTAAATGAAACAGCTTTTTTCCATAGTAAGATACATGCTACTAAGCTACATTTTTCTAATGCTGAAATCATTGAAGTTAGAAATTCAACTACTAAAAAATCCTATCATTAGGCGTCCGGAGTTACCCCGTTTTCCGAATTTGATTTTTTGATTTTCAAACCTTTATTTAAGGTAATAAACTATAGAAGAGCTTAAAACCAGTATGTCTTTATGTTCATCATTATTAGAGTGTTCGATTAACACAAAATAAAGCATTTTGAATTGCTTTTAAAGAAACAGTCAAACATTTTATATCTAAAATTGTCCAGAGTTACCCCGGTTGACGGTACTATAAATGAAGTTAGCATAAAATGGTAAAATCACATTTTGTCACAAATTTTAAATTCATATTTATAAAATTTTGATCGTAATGTATTGCGTGACAATAAAAAAAAAAGATTGCACATGAGGGATATAATACTTTAGGTAATAAAAAAAACAATCGTTTGCAATATTTTAGAAGCCTACATAGGGGGATGTGATATTTTAAGTAAGAGTTTTAGTTTCTTCTTGTGACATATACAGAAATAACAAGTGGTAAATGTTATATTCTAGATACCAAATACTATTCGTTTATAATACTTTATAAATTACTTAGGGGGATATAATATTTCAGAAGTAGATAAAGGGGGGATGTGATATTTTAAGTAAGAATTTCAGTTTCTTTTTGTGACATATACAGTGAATAAACCGAGGGGATGTGATATTCTAGATACCAAATGCTCGTCGTTTGAAATATTGTATGAATTACTTAAGGGATGTAATATTTTAAAGGTAAACATAGAAGGGAAGTGATATTTTAAGTAAGAACTTCAGTTTATTTTTTGTGGTACATACAGAATTTACAAGTGATGGATGTGATATTCCTTGTACCAAATACCAATCGTTTGAAATATTGTATGAATTATTTAGGGGGATGTAATATTTTAGAAGTATACAATAGGGGGATGTGATATTTTAATTTAGAATTTTAGTTTCTTTTTGTGACATACAGTGAATAAACCGAGGGGATGTGATATTCTAGATACCAAATACTAGTCGTTTGAAATATTGTATGAATTACTTAGGGGGATGTAATATTTTAAAGGTAAAGAGGGAATGTGATTTTTTAAGTAAGAAATTAAGTTTCTTTTTATGACATATACAGCAAATAAACCAAGGGAATGTGATATTCTAGATACCGAATACTAGTCGTTTGAAATATTGTATGAGTTACTTAGAGGGATGTAATATTTAAAAGGTAAAGATAGAGAGGATTTGATATTTTAAATACCAAATAATATTCGTTTTAAATATCGTATGAATTATTTAGAGGCCTTTATCAAGTGTTTCACATAGAGGTGAAACACTTGTATAAAGAACAACAATATTGTAATTCTTATAATTTTTTCTACTCAAAAATAAACAAAGTAAATAATCAAAACACAACATTCTCTGCAGCTATAATATAAACAGAATATACTATAATATAAACAAGGTTCTTAATGTATTTTCTTCTATAATTCGTAATGGACAAGCATCGTTGACAAGATTTTCAGCTTGTGGAGGTTAATAAAGGGGAGGCTGATTAGGAAAGTTTTCAGGATTGGTATTGGTAAGTCCATATTTCTCAGGTTTTAATGGTTTATAGGGGTAAGAAGGTTTATTAAAAGCATTCTCTGGTAAAGGTTCAATATTATTAAAGGCATTCTCTGGTGAAGGTTCAATATGATTTGTTTGATCAATGATCGGAGCAAAACTTTTTGGAGCTAAGTGTCTTAGGGAAACTGTGGTTTCTCTTCCATCTGGATACTTTATGTGAGCATATTGAGGATTAGCATCTATGAGTTGCACTTCGTCTACCAGTGGCTCGAACTTATTATTACGTAAATGTCTTTTCATTAGTATTGGTTCAGGATGACTTAACCATGAAGGTAAAGTGCATCCAGAGGCTGTTTTACGAAGGTGCTTAAACATTATTTGGTGAGGTGTCTCCATTGTTTTAGTATTTACTAAGGATTTTATAGAATGGAGAACGTCTGGCAATACTTTTTCCCAAGCTTTAATGAGTAAATTGTGTTGTCTAGTAGCAATCTCAATAGACTTCTTTATGGTTCCATTATACTTTTCGGCTTGTCCATTCCCTTTTATAGGAGTTATAGAGTTGAGAGAGGGTTATAGCCACAAATAAGTAGCCTCCTCGTCTGTAGTGGCCCTCTCGGCCTTGAGGAGGTGAATTAAGTTAAAAAAAAAAAAAAAAAAAAAAAAACCAAAAACCAAAAATACTTGTGACAAACACTTAACTACAGTCTGAGCTGAAATATCAGAGCACAGGATTGCAAAAGGAAAACAAGAATACTCATCAATTATGGTTAAAAATACTTGTTATTAGTTTGCGAAGGAAGAGGTCCTTTAAAATCTAAGTTCAAACATTGCAGTGGTTGTGTCGCCTTTATCAAATTAGATTTTAGTGGTTTGTAGTATCTAGGCTTAAATTCAAAACATAGTTTGCACTGATTAGTTATTCGTTTAACATCATCAATTGAGAAAGGTAAATTACGGTTTTGAATAAAAGCATAAAACCTAGTTACTCCAGGATGACAGAGTGATTGATGAAGTTGAGTTAAGTTGTTAGTGTTTATTGCTGAGCAATGTATTCTAGAAAATGTGTCAGCTGGAATATTTAGTTTCTCTTCCCTGTAAACAATGTCATAATTATAGCACGATAGTTCAATTTTTCATCAATAAATTTTATCATTTTTAATCTTTGATTTAAGTTGCTTTTCAAAGATATAGGACACAGGTTGTTGATTGGTAATAAGTTCAAAATGGCGTCCAGTAAGGTAGTGTTTCCAATGTCTGAGTGCTTCTATTATTGCGCTATATAAGCTTCTTTCTCAATAGAGGGATGTTTGAGTTCAGATTTTTGAAGTAATTTTGAAAAGAAAGCTACAGGGCGGCCATTTTGATTAAGAACTGCAGCTATAGCAATGTCAGATGCGTCTGTTTCTACTTCAAATGGAACATTTTCGTCCACATAATCTGTCACAGCATTTGCAATGTCTTGTTTAAGTTGTTTGAAATCATTTACACACTGATGATCTAATGGGTACTTGGTGTTTTTGATAAGAAAAGCTATCTTGTCGAAAAAGTTCGGAATCCATTTAGAGTAGTATGAGAATAGTCTGATGAAACGCTTCATGGATTTAGCATCATGAGGAGGAGGCATTTCTTTCATAGGTTGAAGATGACTGGGATCTGGTTTGAGCTTTCCTTCTTCTATAAGATAACCAAGAATGCAAACTTTATCTTGGGAAAAGCTACATTTATCATGATTATAAGTAAGATTTATATTTTAAGCTGACTTGAGAAATTTTTCCAGATTAATATCATGCTCCTCTTGGGTTTTACCACATATTGTCACATTATCTAGATAAGCATAAGTATCTAAAAGTCCTTCTTTTTATATTAATTCGTTTATGGTACGTTGAAAACAAGCAACCCCATTTTCAATTCCAAAAGGCATTCGCTTAAATTGGAACAACCTCCTATTTGCTTAAAAAGCTGTAAATTTTCTATCATTTTTGGTAATTGGAATTTGATGGTAGGCTGATTTTAAATCAACTGTACTAAATAGTTTGTATTGAGCAATTTTGTTTACTAGATCATCAATCCTTGGTAATGGGTAAGCGTCTAGTTGAGTATACTTATTTATTGTTTGACTGTAGTCAATAACTAATCTTTTCTTAGAG